TGTTCAAATTTCAACCTCTATAATTTTATTATTATTAATATAATCTATAAATTACAAACAAAAAACACTCTAAAACCAATGAAAAAAGAAAAATAAGACAATGACAAAAATATGAATATAGATAAAAAAAAATGATAAAGGAGAAAGAGATGAAATTAACTATACTTCTTATAATGTAATTATATATCTAAGTCCTACAAATTAATATACGAAATACCAAAATCTTAACATTTAAAAAATGAAAAAAAAAATAATCATAACAAGCAAAATAGTAAATAGAAACCAAATTAAAAAGAAGAGTTTCATAAATTGATTAAAACAAATCAAGGGCTAAAGCCTTTTTAATAATAGAATTATTTGTGCAAACAAATTAGATTGTATTTTGAAATAAAATAAGACAAAACAAATCAAGTCTACAAATTTAGATGTGTATTGTAAGGGACTATCATAAGAATAACTATAAAACTTAAACGAAAACTAAATCATTTGTTGACAAAGTTGAAAAATAATCATAGCATAGGTTTAAAAAAAACAAAAACAAAAAGATGGTAATTAGTATAAACTCACAACAACTTGAAATTAACAGAGATTCTTCCTCACCACCAATAAAAACTAATTAAAAGACTAAAACCTCTCTTTTAAACAAACTAAAAATCAAATAGTATAATCAATTAGCCATTACAGTTAAGAAAATTAAAAGTCAAGCAAGTAATAATTAATGTAAAGTCCAAAGCCAAAAAAAATTAACAATTAAAACAATCAATAACTGTAGTCCCAATGAAAGAAATAAAAAAATCTATTGTTATGAAAGGCGCCAAAATAATAGTCATATTTTGAATGGTAAAAGAAAAGAGCATGAGTTTAAGTGTAAACTAGAATATAATTGACAATTAAATTAAATTAAATTTGCCTTTGTTACCTAGTGATTAACATATATACTTCAATTTTTATTTTATAATTAAACTTAAAAAAAAAAGATTCAAAATTTTAAAGGGGGCTTAGGACCCTTCAAACCCCCTTAACTCCGTAACTACTTGGAACTTGAAGTGCCTACGACTTAAATAGTTTAATAATAGAAATCTCTTCCTATTAAAAGTAAAAAATTTTATATTTAAATCCCATGATATACTAGTATGGTGAGTTAAGAGAAAAAATAATTTGAGAGTACAACCCAAAATAATATATATCATTAGAACCTATGGTTGTAGAATGGTGAATGCAATGACTCAAAAAATTAAGACATGACATGTAAAAGTGCCACTTTCTCCACTCGCATCTACAGAAGTTTCCAAGAGATTGAACATTGAAGGGAAGAACACAAAAATTCCACTTTCCATGGGGTAGGGTTATGACCACCATCCAATGGCGGAGCTATGAATTGAAAAACTTTAAAGTTAGTTCACAAATTTTTTATGTTATGATTTTAATCCTTAATTTTTATTTAATATACTTTATTCTCTTAATTTTTATAAAAATAATTAGCATTAGTTTTTCACAGTATTTGTTTTTACATTCATAATTGAATATTAACATGAAAATTAGTGATTCTTTAAGATGATTGATTAAATATAAAAATTTTCTTATAATCTCTAATAATTTTTGCCAAAAAAACTTTTAAAATTGTTAACATTTCTCCTCTCTATAATCCCTCCTGCTTTGTTTCCTTTTTTTTTTTTCTTTTTTCTTTTTTTGGAAGAATCCTAGATTTTTGTAACTTTTGTAGAGCATAGAATTAACCTAGAATATTCAATTAAGTTCACAATAATTTATTATTTTACAAGGTTAAAGAATAAAACTTCATCTGAAAAATATATTTGATTTGAGGAGAATAGAGGGGAGAGTGGGGAGGAGGATTTTTTGACTAATCAAATTATAATGTTTTTAAATATTATAATACGAGTGGTGAAAAAAAATCCTCCCTCCGATCCGTTCAATTTCCTTCAAACTAACCATAGTATAAATTCAAAAATTTTTATTGAGTCAAACATGTTTATCTTATTTTGTCATTTACTATACCAATTTTTTATATATTTTTGAGGTTATTACATTTTTTATTTTTACGTTATTTTTTTACAAATACAATTAGACAAGCACTAATTACTAAAAATCTAAAAAGGGCAATATCTTTTACATTTAACTTTAAAATCACTCTTATATTTTCAACTTTAAAATAATGAGTAAATATTTAAGTGTAAAATTGATCAAGCATTCACAAATTTAGTTTGGCCTCCTTCATATAAGTGTAAATGTCACCAATTTTTAAATTTTTTTAAGTGATATAAAAAAAAAATCAATTTGTTGTTTGATTTTAATTTATTAATTAATAAATATCAATTGGTTTATTAATTATTAATTAATAATTATAATTATTAACTATTTTTATTAATCAAACTAAATAAAATTAATATTTTTAAAAATAATATTCTATAATTTTTAATAAACTTACCATTATAGGCGATAGCCATAGCCACATGCTTTCCATAATAGCTATCACTTGTGGAAAAAAATAAGTATTTTTTTCATTTTTTTAACCTATATACTTATAACATATATTAAAAAAAGTAATTAATATAATTTTTGATTATTAAGTTATATAGAAAAATAAAATTTGATTTTAATTTTAATAATTAATCAATTAAATTAAAATATGTGATATTGATATTAAAATTACCATTAACTTTTTTGTTTTTTAATATAAATTAATAATTAAAAAATATATTAATTATACTTTTAACTTTTACTTGAAAAACACAAAATAATTTTTTTTTTTTACATGACAAAGATAAGTTATTAATTGTCTAGGTCCATTCACTTAACAAATTTCCCAACCCCACGGCTAAAACATCACTGGAACTTGTGGGAGGCTGAATGCGATCGATGACTCAAAGTCGTGACATGTAGGACCAGCCCCGCTGTTTACTCACTCGTATTTAAAAGAGTTGTAAGGAAAAGACCAGAGAATTTCCTGTTCCCGCGATCGGTATCAGTACTTGTGGACCAGGATAAGTCATGAAATTAACTTAAGTCCATTTATTGATTAATTTCCACATTTCACATTTCAATAATTGGAGCTTGTGGATGGCAGGATGAGAACGTGGTGATGACTCAATAAAGTCATGACATGGAAAGCCAGCCCTCTCTCCACGCACTGACTTCAGAAAAGTCCAACGTGTAAATTGAGAAAGAAGATGGAAAGAACAAAGGAATTTCTGTTCCAATGAGCTACGTACAGAGAACTGAATTCCATGGCGACTTACATGTGATTAAAAAAAAAAAAAAAAACTTTTAGCCCCTCTTTAATTTTTGGTCAAGATTCATCCATATATGAAAATGATAGGAACATAATTTTCAACCTTGTGGAGCAACAATGGAGTAATTTTTCCATATCTGACGACATCTTTACCTCCAACCAAAAGCAAAATCAATATGTTAAAGAATTTACTCAATTTAGGAAACAATGACGTATCAGATAGCCCAAGTCTACAATTTAAAAAATTAATTAATTTATTTATTAATTAATTGTGAACGAAAGAGATATTATCATTGACAATTAGTTTACTGACATAGAGGCACAATTAAAATATAAAAACATCTACTTAACAAAAAAAAGAAAAGATAACAGATAAATGGGATTATATAATATCAATTAATTATTTAAAACTTTAAAAATATTGATATTATTTAATTATTTAGTAATTGATTATTCTAATAACTACAAAAAAGGTTAGGCAAATGGTTGATTAACCAAATGAATAACTA